CCTATAGGGTTAAAATCAGTTCAACTAGAAATCATGCCTATAGGATTTAAAACAGTCAATTAGAAAAGCCAGTTCAATCCATGTTTGTTTATTCTGAACCGGTTTAATTAATCTGTCCGCTTCTTTAAATAAGTCTTCAAACGCTGCCTTAAATTAATACTGATAGAAAGCATGCCTATAGGATCTCAAGTTGTCGTTTAAAAGTCGTTCTACTGTTTTACTGCATTCGTAATCAATATAGATACCATGCTCATAGGACATCACTGTTATACGCCTAGGCAAACCTATAGGGCGATTAAAATTCTGCAACCGTAAAACCATGTTCTGCTATCTGCGATTGCTCATACTCAGCAAGTTTAAAATCAGTAGGCAAATGGATTCAGTTCTTTCACACTTTGGTCCTAATTCAATACTGTATACTCTCAGTTCACCTAGATATCATGTTCTAAGGTGTTCTCTTAAACACTTGGAACAGTTGTTTGAGACGTGCATTTGCTTGTTATGTTTGTGGAGGTAAATGTGAGCCCTTAACTGTTTCTCCTTTTTTTTTGAAATACAGTCCTACTTGTTTTGTTTGACGCCTAGACTTTTTCTCCTTTAAAACACCTTAGGATGGTCTAGAACTACCCAGAATTAGAGGTCCTAAATACCTCCAGGACCACAAAGAAGGGACGGGTAATGCACGCATAGGATATCTATCAAGGTTATTAGAACGCTTTAGGCTATGACCAAGGGGAGGGAATTGGGTAGTAAGGATATGATGACTACGCGCTAATGTCACGTGTATCCCCTCATTGAGGAGTGATTATCAGGCATTGTGTGGGTATGATCATGTAGGCTAACCAACCTAGGACCCCCTTTTCCAACTCCCGTTGCTTAAATAAATTTACTTTCTTTATATATGTGCAACTTGTTCAAACCCTTTTCCTTGTTTCACTACTTGAATGTCAAAACATGCCTTACTTGCAAGTACGTGGTAAATTGTTTATCTGTTTATTCGACTAATTCACATGAATATAAGTTCGGCCAGGACCCACCGTTGTGGACCGCGAGGGGTGCCTAACACCTTCCCCTCAAGGTTATTTCGGGCCCTTACCCTAAATCTCTGGTAACGCAAACTAGTCCATGAGTCAATTGCTCAAGGTGCCCTAACGCACCATAATTCGTTAGGTGGCGACTTTTCAAAACCCAATTCCCAAAAGGAAAAGAGTTATTTCCACCATGAAATGTCGAAACCCGGTCGTTCTCCGCGAGGAGGAAAAAGGGGGCCTGACAGGGGTGAATTGCTTATTTTTAAAATTAATTATTATGAGTTGACTAGTTTTTCAATTAGTCGACTAGATGTAATGGCGAGGTATTAAAAAGTGTAGAATTAAAATGCAGAAGTAAAGTGCAGGAATTAAAGACACCAGAGTTTTTATACTGGTTCGGATGAATCCTAGTCCAGTCCCCTTGGGTTGCAAGGGAGTTCTCTTCCTATGATTGAGTTTCTTGAGTACAAAGTGAATGGTGTAGTTTACACCAGCTGCTCAGTTTCTATGTCACTCGTCTTTTCTTGATACAATGCTTCACCGGTGTTCTTCTCTCTTTCTTCTCTAACTTGTTACACAGCGGATCTAAAAGAGCTACAATGTTTGTTTGTTGTAGAACAAAGAGAGGGTAGTTGGTTCGATCAAAGTATGAATTTCTAAGTTCTAAGGTTGCGTATAAATACTTTGTATGAGACCGTTACTGAAGAGATTTTCCAACCCACGAGATTTGATTTTTGGATAAAGAAATTGATTCTTTCCAAGAATAAGGTTAATTCCCGTTACTCTTCCTTGATGTGTGGACTTTACAGCTTTCCATCTTCAAGCCTTGATAGCGCCGGATTTGCTCCTTGAATCTAGGTCATTCCATCTTCAATGCTTCGTTTCCTTTTTAACTCTTCAGGCAAACTCTGATTGATTTTCTTGCCGGATTCTCAGCGCTTCTTTTCCTTTTAGATGCTTCAATCAATCTTTGATTGATTTCACCCTTCAGCTTTGATTATTTCTCTTTATGCACTTCGATCCCTTGAGTCCCTACACCAAAAGCAATTATATTATTTTTCATCATTAAAACTAAAACCTAACATTCTTGAAGATTTAATACATTTCCTATGGATTTTGATCCATGAATGATGTTAAAAATAACACTAAATGGTGTTATGTAGCCACAAATGCATCTTAAACACTTATCTTGAAGTGTGTTGATGAGGGATGTGTTCCTCCTTCTCTCTAGGTTCAAGACCCTTGTCCAGAATTCCATCTCTTTCTCTTCCCAAAATAGAAACTTTTATAATTTTGATAGCATGCGTGGCTACGCACACCTCCAGCATAGCTACGATCCCTTCCTCTTCAGCTCCTCTTAATTTGCCTGCCTTGCTGAAATCAGCTACGCCCAAGGCAGCGTAGCTATGCATAGCTCGCGTAGCTACGTGGCTGATATGATACTCTTTAGTAAAAAGATCATAACTTCTTGTAGGAATATACAAATGACGAACGGTTTGAAGCATTGAAAACTAGACCCAAAGATCTTGTGCGAACTCATTTTGGAACTTTAGCCCATCATATGGTTTCCAACTTGACTTAGCCTTAGGGCTCTTCTTAGACCATCAACCATTATTAATATACCTCATACATATATTATCATGATTAATTGATATCCTTCATATTATTAGTCATGTTCATACCTGAATTAATATAATTAGCACCTGCCAATCTTTTTAATGGTCTTAAAACACTTGGAAATTTTTCGGGGTGTTACACAAAAAAAGAGTATTTTTTTTAGTTATGTAGCACAAATTTCAACATTATTTTTAGTGAAAAAGTAAAGCAGCACATTAGGTCATTTTGGGTTTGTGTGAATTTTTAAAAGAATAATTAAATTCTTGAAGAAAATAGAGTCCTGAAAACGTTGGGTATTTAGTGTTTGGGGGAGAGGGGGGAGGAGGGAGAGCACAGGAAACATAGGGATTTGTGGGAGGGGAGGTAAGAAAAGTAGCATAAAATATTATTTTTCTAAAAAAATATTTTCTACTCTCTAAACAAACACTAAAAAATATTTTCAAAAAAAGCTTTTCATTCGCCAACCAAACATGGGAAAATAAGAGATAAAACCACTCATTTTCCAGGAAAATATTTTTCATGGAAAACATTTTCCTTCCTACCAAACACACCCTAATATTATCAAAATATTTCTATACAAGATTTTTAAAATTAAATTACAATAATATTATAAATTAAAGACTTTTATACACGTATGTAACTTAAATCATTTTTCATGTTGCAAGAATTTCCACCTCTACTAAGTTTAAACTACAAAACGGTCCCATATTCAACCACGTCTTTGATCTTAAACAGACGTTATAAATGAGGAAATTGTATGGACCAACTACCAGTGTTTCGTTCATGCTCATATCATGTATTACCCCTTTAATTTACACAATTAATATAATAGCACATGAGTGGCATGAACCAATTAGTAATGCAAAGAGGCTAATACGTTTCATTAGTAACAGTTTAGCTTCAATTTCACTAGTTACCAAAGTGTTAAAAATCACTTAATTCGCCTTTTCTAACTTGAATTACAAGAGCCAAATCATTAGATGTATTTTTCTATATCGAGTTAATAATATGCCGAAATTAGTTGTCAATTTTTTTTAAGACTAGATTATATTGCACCCCCAAATTATCTTGTCCATGGAGATTCCTTTTTTTTTTTTTTTGAGTTTTTTTTTTCTTCCCAATTTAGGAGGATCTATAGTGTTTCGTCCATGAAAATTCCTTGGTGGAGTTTAGACGATATTCTTTTTTCAAAAAAGAAAAAAATGTTTTTCTGAATTATTTCGCTTAACCTAATTTTCCATATTATTACCAGAGTAATGAGTATAAAATAGTGAAAATATGATAGCTCCCTTCATTTATACGTAATTTCATTAGACCGTATTTAACAGAAGAAAAAAAAACTTAAAATGATTATATCGTATGAGGCAATGATTGCGTATTGGGTTATGATGGCAATTAAAGTAGAGAGAGTATGAGAGAAGTGGTAAGTGGAACGAGACTCCGCAGCCACAGCCGCCATTTCATCTTTTTACGCATTTTCTTGTGATAATTACTCAAAATAAATACTGCAGGAAATCAATACAGCATTAATTCTTCCATTATCATTTCTACAGAATCATCACTCACCACTCCCAAAGAGAAAGTTGAAAAGTTGCAGAAGAGAATCCAGAGGGACTTGCCGAAAGTTTATCAAAATTATACTCTTATTAAGTTACGATGAGATGACAGTTCAAAAAAAAAAAAGTAGCATATTTAAAATATATAAAATCATTACTGAGAAACTCACTACTCTTTTTAACAATAAGCTAGTTAGCGTTAAATATCTCAATTGAATAATTAGGCGTCTAATACCACAAATTAATTAAAATCAATTAGTACCTCTCTGTTCACTTTTACTTGTCCATTATACTAAAAATACATTTTCGCTTTTACTTGTCCATTTTAGCAAATCAAGAGAAAGACAAACTTTTTTTCTTGTCTTACCTTGATCATTAATTACTCATTTGCAAAATTATTTCCCAAGACTCTTTAAAATACATACTACAATTATTGTTTCTTAAGAGGCGTGAAAAGTCCAAGTGAACGGAGAGAGTATATAATTAGTAATCACCATGCACCAAGGGATGTGGTGGAATAGATAGAATCTATCTGCCAAATAACTAGAGGTTGGTTGGGGTGCGAGCCATAGATATAGAATGGTGTGCTTTTCTTTTATGTGGCGCGAATGTGAATTAGTCGGGCCTAAAAATTTAAAAAGATGATACTAATAATCCTATACGTGAGTCATCAATTTATGGTAACTTTTCCTCTAATCTTTTTAGTTTATTGGTAAATTAAAAGAGAGAGGTGCCTTCAAAAATGAGTATAAAAGGGAAGGGAAGGGAAATGGGAGGAAGCATTATCCTTCTCAAAAGTTGAAAAATTGGAAATCATAACCAACTGCTCACTTCACTCAGACCAAAAAAAGCTTTTTAACGGCCCCCTTTCTTTCGACCTTTTTTCTTTTAGTTGCTCCTCTTCTTTCAACTACACCTTTTTTGGTTTTGCCTTTCTATCACGACGTTACATATTACATGGTATCTTTTATAAACTGTGTCATCTTTTATATATAATAAGTAAAATATTGGTTCCAATTTAAACAGAAGAGAAGATGATTGGTGATAAAGTGAGGATAGTAGTGAGGGAATTCGAGTGCAAGAAAGATTGTAGGGAAGTGGAAGAGGTAGAGAGAAGATGTGAAGTTGGGCCCACCGGCAAACTCTCCCTTTTCACTGACCTTTTAGGTGACCCTATTTGCAGAGTTCGCCATTCTCCTGCCTTTCTCATGCTGGTATATTGTTATTGACCATTGATCAGTGTATTACTAAAGTTTTATATATGTCATAGTTTAATTCTTGATTATCTCATTTACAGGTAGCAGAGAATGTTGGAGAAGAAAAAAGAGAAATAGTAGGGATGATAAGGGGCTGTATCAAAACCGTTACATGTGGAAAGAGACTCCCCAGGAACAATCACGATTGCACCAAACTACACCTCCCTGTTTTCACTAATATTGCCTATATTTTAGGCCTTCGTGTCTCTCCTTTTCACCGGTAACTACTTACGGACTACATTTCTACCTTTTCATCACTTCACTAGGAAACTTTGTTCTACTTTTTATTTTAATTTACAAAACACCAATTATTGTTTAGTATTTGCCGAAATCAGACACATTCTAACTTGTCCTGTTTTCTATATATATAATAGTACTTGACTCTCTAACTATATACTAATATTATAAAGTTGTTTATAGCATCATAAATTTTATGAGTATTTAAGTAATATATTAATATTACTTAGTATTTGAGCATCGGTGCATGGTGCACTTGTACATTAGTACATGTGGACTCATAAAAATTTACCTCAAGTTATTTTTATGAATAATTTGATTATATAAATATTTTTATCGATAGTGTATAAAATTTATATTCAACCAACATTAACAAATATGTTATTCCTTTTTATTTAATTGAAACAGGAGAAAGGGCATTGGGTTGAAATTGGTGCGCAAGATGGAGGAATGGTTCAGGGAAAATGGTGCTGAATATTCATACATAGCTACTGAAAACGATAACCATGCTTCTGTAAAACTCTTCACGCACAAATGTGGCTACACCAAGTTCCGTACCCCATCCATTCTAGTGCAGCCAGTTTTTGCACACAAAGTCAAGATATCAAGAAATGTCGCTATAATTAAGCTCAGCCCATTTGAAGCCGAAACTCTATATCGCCATAAATTCTCCACCACAGAATTTTTCCCTAAAGACATTGATTCAATCCTCAACAATAAACTCAATTTGGCTACTTTTCTAGCAATTCCAAAGGGTAACTTTTCATGTTGGAATGGTGTGAATGAGTTTTTAACGAGTCAGCCCGAGTCATGGGCTGTACTCAGTGTGTGGAACTGTAAGGACGTGTTCAAACTCGAGGTACGAGGCGCATCCAGGATTACAAGGTCTTTAGCTAAGACGAGTCGTTTAATGGACCGGGCTTTTCCATGGCTTAAGGTTCCGTCAGTGCCGGAAGTTTTCAGGCCTTTTGGGCTTCATTTTTTATATGGGCTTGGTGGTGAAGGCCCATTAGCTGTAAAGCTAATCAAGGCCCTTTGTGATTTTGCTCATAATTTAGCTGGAGAATCACGGTGTGGGGTGGTGGTGACAGAAGTAGCAAGTTGCGAACCGCTTAAGTTAGGAATTCCTCACTGGAAAAAACTATCTTGCGCCGAGGACTTATGGTGCATAAAAAGATTAGGGGAAGACTATAGTGACGGGTCTGTGGGTGACTGGACTAAATCAAAGCCTGGTCTTTCTATTTTTGTTGATCCCAGGGAATTTTAACTTTTAATTGACAATATCTTGTGTTTTAGATTAGGGAATCTAATTTAGATGTCAATTTTTCCTTTTTGTATTTTTCTGGATTATAACTTTATATAATTGTAGAATTAGAGGAGAATAAGGAATATAGTTGTACAACTCTTTTTGATTGTTGATGTAAAGGGGGAACTGAAATATCCCTTTTGTTTTATGTAAATGGATTAAGTATGTGACCTTTCTTTCGATCCCCTCTTTCATATTCATATGGTGGATTTTTGCATATCCTCATTTTTATAAGACCCGTAAACGATTGAAAGATTATGTAACAATTTGTGAATCAATTTCTTTGAATATACTCCCACAAAACAAAATCGCTTTTTGTTCCAGAGATGGTAGTTATTTAAGTTATTCTTAGTGGTCACTTTAGTTCCATAGTTTCAATTATAGCAGTTTAGTCCTATGTAATTTAAATTTCAGTCATTTTTGGTCCTAGTATAGAATAGTACAAGGTGATGCTGTCGTACACTGCCAGTTGGCAGGATTACAGATCCCTAGGCAACAGAAATGTCAGCCTAGACGTTATTTATATTCCCTTGTAATCCAATCATTGGCTATGAATGAAATCTATCTCTCTCCTAATTTTCTTCTTCTTTCTGCTTTTCCTCTTTCTTCTTCTTCTCTCCTTTCCTTCTTAATTCCCTTTAATTCTTCTGCTGAGCGTAGCAATAACAATTTGGTATCAGAGCATCAGTCCTCCGACCACCATGGCTGATCAAAAACTAAAAGGCATAGAGGAAAGCATCAAAAAGTTGGATGTTCAGGTTCAGCAGTTAACCACTGGTATTAGATCTGTGTCGACAAGAGTGGACAAGATGGATGAGACTCAAGCTCAAAATGCTGAAACCCAAAGGAAGCTTGAGTTGATCCTGCAGCAACTGATGAAGGATCGAACACCAGAGACACATTCACCTATGGTTGGATCTTCATATGCTCAAAGGGTATCCATGACAGCAGGAGGAGCAACCAGTGGAGGGAGTGTTCAACAACCAGTTCATACTACAGCTCCACTCACACCCCCTTCAGCAACTGATGCTCGAGGCATAACTTTTCCACCAGCTCCTATGCAGAGAAATCCCCAGCCTCCTATTCTACCAACTCCAGTTGGACCCGCAGAAACAGGGAACCAACAGCTACAAGTAGCCACAGCTGAGGCTCCAAAGGGCAAGCTCATGTTTCCTGAATTTAATGGAACCGACCCCAGAGCTTGGATAAGAAGATGTGACAGGTATTTCGAAATTTATAAAGTACCTGAACCTCAAAAAATGACTTACATTGCTATGCACCTCAAAGACAAGGTGGATAACTGGTTTGATGCCTATATTATTGATAGAGGAGGAATAGTGGACTGGCCCTTATTTTGTATGGATATATGTAGAAGGTTTGGCCATATAAGACCTTTGGATATTATTGATGAGTTTAGTAAACTGGGGCAAGAGGGTAGCATAGAAGCATACCAAGAAAAGTTTGAAGAATTAAGGATTCACATGATGATGATCAACCCTCACTTGAATGAGCTGCACTTTGTAGCTAGTTTTGTGAGTGGATTGAGGCCAGAAATCAAGCATTTGGTTAGGATCTATAACCCCTCAACTCTTTTAGACACCTATGAAGTAGCTAAGTTGCAGGAGGATGCCTTAAAGGCCTTGCAAAAACACTTGTATCGACCCCCTCAAAACACCAGAACTTACAAGCCCACTACCCCAAGAGTCACTTTTCCTCAGAACCCCCTTCCTCTCACCTATAATGAACCACTCAGACTCACATACCCTACCAGAAACACACCTCCCACACCAGCCTATCCAAACAACCAAGCAGGCCCTTCTGGTGCTGCTGGTACCAACCAACCAAAGAACCTAACCTATGACCAGATGAGGGAAAGAAACATTTGTTTCAGATGTCATGAGAGATATTATCCTGGTCATCAATGCAAACCCAAGGCCCTAAACTCAATGATAGGTACTAATGGAGCAGAACAAGAGGAAGTCTATCATGATGCAAGGGAAGCTACTGAAGCCACTGATAATGTGGAAGAAGCCATGGCTGTGGTTGAAGAAGAACATGCAGAACTGTCAATGAATGTGGCTCTGGGAATGACTACTTCACCTTCTACTATCAAGATACAAGGAAAGGTGAAGAAACTATCCATATTGATCTTGGTGGATAGTGGATCTACTCACAGTTTTATTAGTCCAACGGTGGCTAAAAGCATGGCAGGAATGGTTTATCCCTCTGCCCACCCCCTGAGAGTAGTGGTAGCCAATGGCCAACAGATGTTCAGTGAAGAGTGGTGTCCCAAGTTTAAGAGGACCATGCAAGGAGAAGAGTTCCATTTCCCTGTGAGAGTATTACACTTTGGGGGCTATGATATGGTACTTGGGATGAATTGGTTAGATCAGTTCTCCTCTGTCATTCTCAACACTAGACCTCTTAGTGTGACTTTTCTTAATGAAGGCAGAATCATCACACTCAAGGGCAACACTGATAGTGCTGAGGTATGGACTGATGTTGAGGACAACACAGCAAAACTGCTGCAACAAGGGAGCAGCTGCTGTCTAGTGCAATTGTATGAGTTGTCCCAGCAAACTCCAGAAGAGAAGGTACCTGCACCAGTCCTAGAGCTGCTGCAAAAGTATGCTGATGTTTTTGAAGAACCCCTGACATTGCCCCCTACCAGAAATTGTGATCATACCATCACCCTGTTGCCTGATGCTCACCCTTTCAGCCTAAGACCATACAGATATTCCCATGATCAAAAGAATGCAATTGAACACATGATTTCAGAAATGCTCAAGGTGAAGACTGTGGATCCTAGCCAATTTTGTTTTGCTTCCCCAGCTCTCCTAGTTAAAAAGAGGGATTCCACATGGAGGCTGTATGTTGATTACAGAAAGTTAAATGCAATGATAGTAAAAAACAAGTATCCCATTCCAGTAGTGGAGGATTTATTAGATGTTCTCAAAGGGGCAGCCCTATTTTCTAAGATTGACCTAAGAGCTGGATATCATCAAGTGAGGATGAAGGAATCTGATGAATTCAAGACTGCCTTCAGAACACATCATGGGTTATGGCAATTCAAAGTCATGTCATTTGGGTTGACTAATGCACCTGCCACTTTTCAGGCCTTGATGCATCAGGTATTTGGAGAATATCTCAGAAAATTCATCTTAGTGTTTTTTGATGATATATTAGTCTACAGTTCAGACTTGAGCAGCCATTTGAAGCATTTGGAAAAGGTGCTCCAGTTGTTGAGACAGAACCAATTATATGCTAAAAGGTCCAAATGCTCCTTTGCTCAACCACAGGTGGACTACCTTGGCCACACTATTTCAGGGAATGGTGTACAAACTAATCCTGCTAAGATTCAAACCATGTTGCAATGGCCTAAACCAACAAGTATTAAGGAATTGAGAGGGTTCCTTGGACTCACTGGATACTACAGAAGGTTTATATTGGGTTATGGAGTCATTAGTAAGCCATTGACTTCATTACTTAAGAAGGGAAACTTTGCATGGACTGAAGAGGCTACAGTTGCATTTGAAAGACTTAAAGAAGCAATGGTTAAGGCCCCTGTATTAGCCTTGCCTGATTTCTCTAAACCATTCACTGTAGAAGTTGATGCTAGTGGCTCAGGTATTGGAGCCATACTCATGCAAGAACATCACCCCATAGGCTATCTGAGTCAAGCACTTAGTCTCAAACATCAAGGGCTATCAACTTATGAGAAGGAACTACTGGCCTTAATACTAGCTGTGGATAAGTGGAGGCATTATTTGCAGCAAAAATTTTTTATAATTAAGACAGACCATTTTAGCCTCAAATTTCTCAAAGATCAGAGGATTTCTACTGTGCTGCAGCACAAGGGGTTAACTAAGTTACTAGGATTAAACTTTGATATTCAGTATAGAAAAGGGAGTGAGAATTCAGCTGCCGATGCATTATCAAGGAAGGCCTCAGGACATTGCAGTTCTATCACCAGCATCAGACCAACTTGGGATCAAGAAGTGGTGGAAAGCTATCAGGGAGATGAGGAAGTAACTAAACTCATTTCTGACCTTACTCACAATCCCAATGGGAGTGTTACCAACCAAGTGGTGAATGGATTACTAAGACATTTGAGCAAGTTATGGATAGGGAGTCATGGGAACATGAGGCAGCAATTGATCAAGGCTATGCATTCCTCAGCATTAGGAGGCCATTCTGGAGTGTTAGCCACTTACAAGAGGTTAAGATCACTTTTCTACTGGCCAGCTATGCAGTCAGATATTCAGAAGGTCATCCAAGAATGTGACATTTGCCAAAGGAACAAGACTGAAAACATAGCACCCCCAGGATTGCTGCAGCCCCTACCTATCCCAGAAGAACCTTGGAAGCACATTTCTATGGACTTTATTGAAGAACTTCTAAAATCAGAAGGGAAGGACACTATTCTAGTGGTGGTTGATAGGGTCAGGAAGTATGCACATTTTATTCCACTACTCCACCCCTTCAATGCAGCTCATGTTGCCAAGGCTTTCCTAGATCAAGTGTACAAGCTACATGGCCTACCTCAAAGTATAGTATCAGACAGAGATAAAGTGTTCACCAGTTTATTTTGGAGGGAACTCTTCGAGTTACTAAAGGTTGAGCTACACATGAGCTCAGCTTACCATCCCAGACTGATGGTCAATCTGAGAGGCTAAACAGGTGTTTGGAAACATATCTCAGGTGCATGACAAGTCATAAACCAAAGGCATGGAATCAATGGTTATCCTTAGCTGAATTCTGGTACAATACCTCATATCATTCTGCATTACAAATGACCCATTCCAAGTTATATATGGTTATGAACCTCCTCAGCTATCATTTGAACTAGTGGCTCAAGGTAAAGTGGATTCTGTGGATCAATGGTTACAAGAGAGGCAAGTCATGGCTAAGGTACTGCAGGAAAGCCTCAAGAAAGCTCAGAACAGGATGAAACAACAGGCAGATAAGCATAGGACTGATCGAGAGTTTTCAGTAGGGGATTGGGTTTACCTTAAACTCCAGCATTATAGGCAGTCTTCTGTTGCTATCTGGAAGAGTCTTAAGCTTTCTTCTAAATTCTATGGCCCTTATCAAGTTATTAGAAGGATTGGCAATGCTACTTATGAGTTACAACTACCACCATCAGCAAAGATCCACCAAATTTTTCATGTTTC